GGGCCCAACAATAATTATTCTTTAGAATTAATAATGTTCAACAACAACAACAACAATCATAACAACAACAACAACAACAACAACAACAACAACAACAACAACAACAACAACAACAACAACAACAACAATCATAACAACAACAGCAACAACCGCGCCTCCGGCGGCCGTCCCGGGGCGACCTATAGGCAGCCCCGTAGCACCCTCGGCGAGGCGCGGCTGCTGGAGCGCATCCTAAAACGACGCGAAGATCGGGACAAAATCGGATCGGGATAACTCGAAATCTCTGAGAATCGGCGGGTTTGGAGGATGTATTGGGCGCCGCGGCCGCTCCAGAGCGTTCCGGAACGCTCTGAGAGCGCTCCGGAACGCTCTGGAGCGATTTATCCCGATCCTAGCCCTGTTTTACATCCCGAGGGAGGGGAACCTCGAGGGGCAGGCAGAAACGCTGGGAAACCGACGGAAACTGTACGTGGCTAGTTTTCCGCGACGCGAGGATGGGGTCGAAAAATCGTGCCGCATCGCGGATGCATCGCCGATGGGGCTCGATGTGGAGCCCGACTCCCTTCACGTCGACGTCGCCGACGCATCGCCCATGCATCGCCGATGTGTCGCGGGTGCATCGCCGATGCATCGGCGATGCATCGCCGACGCAGCGCCGATGTGTCGCTGTTGCGTCGCGACCCCCCTCCCATCTGGGAGGCCTCTGGTCAGGAGGGGAAAAAACACACAGACACAATTAATCGTCGATTCCCAGGAAAATATGGGAAAATATGGGAAGGGGGGGGAGGACAAAAATCTAGAAAACATGGGAAAATCTGGGGAATATTCTTATTTGTGTGTGTTTCATTTGCGTGTCCTGGGGCCCCTTTGTCTGCTCTGGGCTCCCCAGGCCTGCGGACCCCCCTCTTCCTTGGCGCGCGGAGCGCGGCCGGGGGCCGCGACGGAGGCGCCCTGAGGGGCGGGGTCACGCGCCGATCCAAGAGATCCAAGAATCTCCTCCTCTCCTCCTCTTTCCTCCTCCTCCTCTCCTCCTCCCCCTCCTCCTCCTCCTCCTCCTCCGCCTCCTACACCTCCTCCTCCTCCTCCTCACTCCTCCTCCTCCTCCTCCTCCTCCCCCTCCTCCTCCTCCTCCCCCTCCTCCTCCTCCTCCTCCTCCTCCTCCTCCCCACTGCGGGCGCCCCAGGCCTGCGCCACCCGAGGCCCCCCTCGCGGCAGGCCACCCGAGGCCCCCCTCGGGCCCCTCGGCGTGCGCCGAGGGGGGGCCCCGCCGCGTGGGCGCGCGCCGCCGGTGCGCGGCGCGGCGCGCGGGGCCTCCTGCGGGGCAGCTCTGAGCGCAGAGGGGTCACGCGCCGATCCAAGAGATCCTCCTCCTCATCCTCCTCTTCCTCCTCCCTCTCCTTTCCTCTCCCCTCTCTCCATCCTCCTCCTCCTCCCTCCCTCCCTCCCTCCCTCCCTCCCTCCCTCCTCCCTCAGGCGGGGAGGCGTGAGGCTCGAGTAAGCCCGAGCTCGGGCTCGCCGACGTTTGTGACGGTCCAGTCTGTGACGGTCCAGTTCTCGTGGGATGCTTGCTGCGGGAGCTCGCGTCAAGTTTCAGATCGGGCCCCGCCATTTGTAGGAAGGTCCCGTCAGGCCAACCCCAGGCCCCCGTACCCGAGTCTTACGTCTTCCCGATACAGTCAAGGCGCACAGTTCAGGAAGACAGGTCACGGGTTGGGAGGATGGGGTTGGGAGAACTGAGAATAGCAGTACCCGCAGGCGGCCGAAGGTGTCGTGCATCGCATCCGAGTGCTATTGCTCAAATCCTTCATTCTCCCAATTGTTTTCCTCGGTCGTAAGGATGAGCAAGTACGTTTCCAAGGTTCCCCTTGCATCCTTGCCCCTTCGGCCCATCCTGGACTCCTGGACGACTTTCGCTGGCCAGCCCCGCTAAAAAACGCCAACAGGGCCTTCTACGGCCTTTGCATCCTGACCAAGTCCCGTTGCCATGAGTTTTGACAGTGTGCCCGAAAAACCTTACAGATCGGAGGGGAATTCTAATCCCCCACCCCGCGCCCGAAGCCCATGTTGATTTCAGTATTGGCGCCTCTTGGGATCGGATACTTATGTCCACTCCGAGGGGGGCATCTTGCTCTGCAGGCTTCGACCTCACTGTCCACGTGCGGCAGCGCGGCGGGCGCGCGTCCCACGGCGGCAGTCGGCGGCCGCGGCGGGAGGCGTCTGGCTCTAGGCCGTTCTCGGTCGCGGCGTGACCTCGCCCGGACCCCGTGAGGGTAGACAATGACTCGGCATGGTCGTCGGTTTCTTATTTACTGTTTTGCCGATCCGCGCGGGCCCTCGCACCCCCCCTCCCCCCCACCCCATGGATCAAGCAGTGGCGAAGCGTCCTGGCGTGCCTGTAGGCCTAGCAAGCAATGTTCTAAGAACCCTCTGTGGTTTTCACGAAATGTTCTCAGAACTTTTCTGGCTGGGACTGTATTATGTCAACACATTGGGGTCATGCTCTAAGAACATTGAATTTGTTATAAGAACATGTTGGGGCTCTAAGAACATGTCGTGGTAGGCATATAGGAATGCCGAGATGGTCGGTCCCTGCTCAAATGGAGTAGATATTGGCTGTTTTGCGCGCCTGTTTTGAGCAGGTGGAGCCTCCCCCATCGGACGCGCTGCCGCAAACAGTGGCATTGAGCAGATGTCCGGATCCACCCCCCTTCCGCACAATGCCGAAACGCCGAATAAGAAAACGCTCACATGAGCCAGCCCTGGGGAAGGGTCGGTACTTCTGAGGGCGCCCGTGTTGTAAGCATCAAGGTGTCGGAGGTCTGGGAAGCTACCCGGCGGAGCAAGCGCGAGCCGAGAGCGGTTGGGAGCAGGAGGAGGCCGACGACGGTGAGGAGCGGGTGGGAGGAGGAATGATGTGGGAAGGGGGAGGGAGGATCCGTTTTTCTAACCCTGGCAAAGATTTGATCAATCGTTCGCTCCCACCCCCGAGGGGTCACACCCCGCCAACATGCCGCTGGTGCTCGCCTGCCTGATCGACAAAATCGTGACGAAGGAGCGGGAGAAGGTCGCCCATTTCTGCACGACCCTCTGCTGGAGGGGACGCGGCGCGGATAGTCACGTGCCACCTGGCCTACAGTTGGGGGCACGACTAGGTTGATTGAGTCCGCCCGCATGCAGAGAGAGAGAGAGAGAATACAAAAGAGATACAGTAGGGGCTCATGCCAAGAAACACCCTGCTTGCCTCCAGGGTGCCCTGGGTTTCTTGGGTTTTGATGGTTATACTCTGGAAATCGTGACGCTCCTGCACCAAACATCGATGGACGTCCTGGGGTCTCAGGGTAGGGTTTCTGGTGGAAGGTTTCTTGTGGACTGGCCTCCGATGTAGTCAGAGGGAGAGAGAGAGAGAGAGAGAGACAGAGCGATGAGGAGGAGGAGGAGGAGGAGGAGGAGGAGGAGGAGGAGGAGGAGGAGGAGGAGGAGGAGGGGAGAGAGATGAAAATGAAGAGAGAGAGAGAGAGAGCCAGCTCACCCGCAGGGGCGCGAAGGTAACCGCACTGCGCGCTTCGCGGCCTGAGCCATGGAGGCGCCCTTCTCCAACGGGGGGGGGCCTGCGGGGGCGCGCAGACGAGGCGCTCTTCGCGCCTCGCGCGGCGTAGAGCTCGGCGGCCCAGGAGGCCCCCCCAGGCGTCTCCGGGGGTCCCCCGGGTGCGGGCCCAACAAGGGCCAGGAACATCCAGGAACCTCGGCCGGTGATCCTCGGGAGAGAGAGAGAGAGAGAGAGAGAGAGAGAGAGAGAGAGAGAGAGTAGGGGAACGAAGAACGACATAAGCATAAAATCTCGGAGGTCCGCGCGGATTTCTCGGGTCGGCGCTGGACCCCCCTCCCTTGCGCGCGGAGCACGCCATGGGCGGAGCCGGAGGCGCCGCCGGGGGGCTCCACAGCGCGGATCCGAGAAATCCGCGCGGACCTCCGAGTTTTTATGTTTACGTCGTCCTCCGTTCCCCTGGAGAGGGAGAAAAGAGCCAAGATATCGAGCGGCTCTCTTGTTCGAGACATGGGCCCCTGGACCTCTCGACGCCGTCCCTCGGGGACCGCTCTCGTTCGTCCCGATGCCCCTGCTCGACATGCCCGGGGCCCGGGTCTGGCCTCATGGTGAAACACCTTCCGTCGCCCAGCTGCCCACGGCGCCGGAGCTCTTGGGGAGGACGAGGAGGAGAGGAGGAGGAGGAGGAGGAGGAGGAGGAGGCGGAGGAGGAGGAGGAGGAGGAGGAGGAGGAGGAGAGCTCTTTGGGGAGGCGGAAGACGAGATCCGAAGGAGAAATAACTACATAAACACATACAGTTTTGGCGCTCCGCGCGGATTCCTTGGATCCGCGCTGCCCCCCCCCCCCCCCCGCGGCGCCTCCCGCGCCGCCCCTGGCGCGCTCCGCGCGCCAGGGAGGGGGGATCCAGCGCAGACCCGAGAAATCCGCGCGGACCATCAACAGTTTACAGTGGAGGCTCATGCAAAGAAACACCCTGCTTGCCTCCAGGGTGCCCTGGGTTTGATGGGCTTCGATGGTTTTGCAATGGAAAGCGTGACGTTCCCACACCAGAAATCCGTGGACGCCCTGGGGTCTCAGGGTAGGGTTTCTTGTGGAAGGTTTCTTGTGGATTGGCCTCCAATGTATGCTGGGGAGGCGGAAGCTGAAAGGGAGGGGGGAGGGAGGGAGCTGCACGCAGACGCGGCGCGGCGGCGGCGCGTCTTCGGCGGCGAGGGGCGAGAGGGGCTCGGCCAGCGCCATAGGCCCTCTCCCGGAAGTTCGAGAACGCCTTCGGGCCCCTGCTCTACCGGCTGATCTTCCACAAGTGGACGCTGGGCAGGTCAGGGGCAACGACAGGGGGGGACAGGTATAGAGGGTTAAGTCGGGCATGCCCCTACACAGGAGGAAGATTCCAGAATGGTTGAAACATCGCAGTATGGTGACGATTTGTCGTGCTCTTCTGATGATTGCTGATGGACTTCTAACTGTGTTTGAGTTGTCTTCCAAAATCCGCCTCCAGGAGGACATGCCCGACCTAATCATTGGTGGGGACGCATCGACCCCCAATCGCCCGTGGATCGCCGATCGGGGCCCGATAGCCCCACCCCGCCCAGGAAGGTGCGGTTTCGATGTCGGGGGCCCATCGCCGATGTACCGCCGATTCCAGGCCGATGCTCTCCCCCTGTGCCAGGCCCCCTTGCCCATCTCAAGAGGCGACGAAACACAGCAGACACGGATGCTCCTCGGTGTCCAGGAGAAGGTGGGAAGCTGTGGGGGGGGGAGGGGGGGGGGAAGACGAAACCCCAGGAAAAACATGGAAGGTATGGGGAACCCGGGGACGTGTGCGTATCCATTTGCGTATCCCCTTGGGCCCCCTCTCCCTGCCCCCGAGCAGGGTGCCGGGCAGCAACTTCCTGGCCAACATCCTGCTGAGCTGGAGCCACAGAGGCGCCTCCGGCCCATGCGGGGGGCTGCTCCTGGAGAGGCGGCTGCTCCTGGAGAGCGGGGGGGGGAGGAGAGCAGGGGGGAGCTGCCCGAGGGAGGGAGGGAGGGAGTATCTACGCCGCCCAGATGGGGTCGGAGTAGATGGGGTCGGAGGATCGCTCCGAAGCACCGATGCGTCGCCGATGCAGCTCGATGTGGAGCCCGATTTTCTCCGCGCTCGCGGATGCACCGCCGACGTCGCCGTTGCAAGGAGGATCGCTCCGAAGCACCGATGCGTCGCCGATGCAGCTCGATGTGGAGCCCGATTTTCTCCGCGCTCGCGGATGCACCGCCGACGTCGCCGTTGCAACGCCGATGCTTCGCCGATGCATCGCCGATGCATTGGCGATGCGTCGCGATCCTCCGACACCATCTACTCGGACCCCATCTGGGAGGCCTCTAGGGTAGAGGAGGGAGGAGAGGCTACCTGGAAGTGGTCGTCACTGCCGTCGTCGTTCGGAAGCTCTCGAGGCTCCTCCCAGAGGCCACCAGTCCCCTCCAGGGAGGATTTGCACCCACATAGAACTTCGGGAGTCACATCGTCGAATTCGATGCGATGTCCAGGGCTTATTCAATGCAGCCACAGGCTTCGGTAGCCATGCCCTCTTTGCTCACCTTTGAGTTCCAGCCGGCCCCTCCGAGCGTCGCCCATGCTTGGGCCGGCGCGGTCCTCCAGCGATGTGGTCTCCCTGAGGCGCTGTGCCGGTTTTTCTCAGAGCTCCTCCGCTGCGTGCGCTGCTTCGGTGCCATCGGCCTCGGCCCGGCTACACTTCTGTACTACGTCCAGAGTGGCATCACCCAAGGATGCCCAGCCTCGGGCTTTCTCTTCGCTCGGCGCGGACCTGTTCATGCAGGACTTCGACCGCAGCATCAACCGGCGCCGATGGGGCATCGTCAGAGCCTGCGCTGACGACGTGGGCGCAGCCGTCAGGCGCATCGAGACCTGGACCACATGCTTCCGCATCTGCACAGCCGCCGAGAGGATCGCGACACTGTCACTCAAAGCCGGGATGTTTGGGAGCGCTTGGGAACGCTTGGCGGCGCTTGGGAACGCTTGGGAACGCTTGGGAACGCTTGGGGGCGCCTGGGAACGCCTGGCAGCGCCTGCCAGCGCCTGGGAGCGCTTGGGGGCGCCTGGGAGCGCTTGGGATGCGCGTGAGAGCGCTTGGAAGCGCTAAGCGCAAGATTGCTCCGCTTGGCGAGCCCGTCGATGAGAGCGTCGAGCAACGTTGCAAGCTCTGGCTCTACAACGGCCTGCCCGAGCGGCCAGTTTTCGCGGTGGTGCTCATTCTGGTGCACTTTGGGACTGCATCTCGGCCTGGCAGTGTGTCTTGAGAGCTAGCCCGGCTCGCTGGCTAAGTACCGTGCCCGTGGAGCGCCCGTGGCTGCTGTCGCTGGCCCTGGCCGCGTCACGGCGTCGAACTACAACGTCGGGTACGTCTCCACGCTGGGCTACGTCGCCCAGTTCCTGCCCCTCCCCGCGCCCGCCGGTAGGTCTGAGGCGGCCCTTCTCGCTCGCTTGTGGTACACCGTTCACTGTGCGCTCCCGCAGAGCGGGTGGTTTAACCTTAAGGAAATGGAGCGGCCCGAAGTTTGTCAGTGTGATTGTTTTTACTCGTTCGACTTTCATGAGAGCCAGTCGCGAGACGTTCGAGAGCTGGCGCCACCTGCTCCCGATCCTTCGCTCTGAGGCTGACGCCAATCGCCCGCTCCGTCAGATAATGCGAAGTTTTTCTCTCTCACCGAGCTTCTGGCAACAGGCCTCCTTTGCTGAATTCCTCGAGGGCGCCCACGAAGGCTTCCCAAGAACGTTCGGGCACGGCCTGGTCACCTCCTCTTTTTCCTCGTTCTCCTCGTTATCCTCGGCCGTTGCTTCTGCGATTGCCTCCCTCCCTCCTCTTCCGCCTTCGGATGGCCCTCGGATGCCTACGCCAAAGACCCAGCGCCACCTCCGCGTGCCCATGCTCGAAGCTGTCTTCCCCGACCCGATGGTCTACGTTGTTGTTGCGAGCATCTGGGCCTGGGCTCTTGTGTCAGAGCTTCTCGTTCGAGCGTGGCCATGGGAGGAGATCCGTTCAGTTTTGGGAAAGATGCCCTTCGCCCGAGCTAATGCGGCCCTGAAGCTTCTCTCGCATGGATGGGATATGAAGGTAATTGCCTTTTTTCGGGTGTATCCCGAACGGGCTTGGGCTCAGCCGAGATAGGCTCTCCCAGTATTGGTCCTGTCCTCGTTTCCTTTCCATTATCTGCCTCGCGTTGCGTGTCCCATCGCTGCCTGGTTGTCCCATCCAGCGGTTCGGCCTGTTTTCTCCGTCTCCTGGGTCCCTGCTTCCCCCTGCCGCTACCACTATCCTTTTATCACAGCATCCACCCTCGGCGCCGAGACTCGCATGTTGCCATGCGCGAGCAATCTGCTCGCGCGCTGGCGTCCCCGGAGCGGTTTCAACTGCTACGGTAGGCGAACAGACCGTGGCGCGCAGCGGCCACGTGCGAAAGGTTATTTGGGAGGGACGAGGAAAGAGGGAGGAGGGAGGCACGAGGCAGGAGGGATGAGGGAGGAGGGGCGACGCAGTGTCGGCCAGGAGCCACGGTGCGGGAGGAAGGAGCAGGAGGGGAAGGGAGGGCTCGATGGGAAGAGGAGGAAGGAGTGAGGCACGAAGCAAGAGGGATGCAGGAGGAGAGATCAGGTACTGGCGGCAACAGGGGCCAGGGACCAGGGAGGAGGTGCTGACCGACGGAGGGGCGCGTTTAAGTTGCCCGCACGCGCCCTGCCAACGTCTAAGCATGGTGCCGCTTACTTGTTCGGATGTTACCCTTGCTGCAGCATCGCGAGTCGAGTTCGTTCGTTGTCGCGGGGTTCGAGAACGCGCGAGGAGGAGGGGGGATGGGGATGTGGAGGGGGATGGAGTAAAAGGGGAGGCAGTGAGTGCTCAGGGACCTCCTCACAAGTGGTTACGTCGTATGTTTCGCTCCCTCCGCCCGGGTCCGGCCTGGAAGGGGGTGGCGTAGGCGTTGTTGCGAAAGAGTCCGTGTATAGAAACACCTACGTCTGGCGTCGACGTCGGCCGCCCCTGCTTCGACATACTGCCTGATCTTGCTAGATCGCCCTCGTCGCATCTCACATATTCGTCGCACCTTTTGTTTTTACTCGCATCGTCGTGGCAGCCGCGCTGCATCGAGTTTTGTGGTCGCGCTGGTCCCCTCTCCTCCCAGGAGAGTAGGCCCTGCCAGATCGCCCTCGCCCTCCCCTCACGTCCTCAGCTGGGGGGTCCTGGGCATCTGAGATCCTCCAGAGCCTTTTCTGCAAGACCGTCTGGACACTGCCGACGGATTTCAAGAGGGTTGAAGCTCCCTGAGAACAAAAGCAATTATCAGAATCCCTGTTTCGTCGATGCAGAAGTTCGAACATGTGCCTCTCTCGCCTCGCCTGGCGACGCTCTGCCCACTGCCTCTCATACGCTGCCAGACCCCGGCCCAAACTCCAGAGAATCGCCGTGCCGCCCGCACGTTGAGTCCAGAAGCAGGGCTGGAGCTAAACGCCGCTGTTTTGCTGGACTTCGGCTGTGTTTTGTTTTTCGTTTCGGCAGGGAGGTACAGGAAAACAGGTACAGCAAAACGAACAACAAAACGAAAACAACACGAACGAAAAACAACGTTTCGGTCCAGCCCTGTCCAGAGGTGCTCTCAGGAGAGACCACGCACAGCCAGGCATCATCCAGAGGGGCCTTTTGCTGGAGGGATGGTACCTGATTCCGGATCCGTTTGCGCGTCTCTGCCACCACGTTGGTACCGACCGATTTTGAGACCGTCCTGCTTGTAGCATGCCCAGGGCAGCCTCAACAATAGTGTCGCTACGGTCACGATAGATTCAAACGCAGCGCATTGCGCATCTCGCGATGTCACAAGTTCTCCGCAGAGTCGCCGTTGCACGCGAAAATGCGAAACATTGCCTTTCGCCGGAGTGAGAGGTACCGAAATTGCTACCTTTCCCTGGTTTTCGCCTGTTGGGGCCTCCTGGGAGGCCCCCGTCATAACGGCTGGATTCGCTTCGACGTTCTGGCCAGAACGCACCCCAGGAGTGGGCCAGGGAGTAGCGGTCTCGGTCTATCTTGGTCTCCCCAGCCTTCGCTGATTCGGCCAGATCAGGCCCGATTCGGCGCGGCCAAATCGGTGGCCCATCGGTATATGTTGACGCGCCGTTTGTTCCGACGCGCGGCCTTCCGTCTTTGAGAGGGCGCCGCGGCCACCAGGGCAAACGCCGCCTCGGGCGCGGTGGGCTCGCCGTGGGGTCCGCCGCGGCGCCGGCTTCGTCTGCCGGGGGCGCGGGGCGCAGGGCGTGCCGTGGCGTTGCTGCGGCGTCGGCGTCGGCCACCCGGGCGCGTCGAGGCCCAACGGCGCGGCGACAGAGTTGCTGGTTTCCCCGGCCTGCGGAGGTGTTTTCTTTCCCCCCGGGCAGCGCGCGCTCCTCGTGGCTTCTGCTCCTCGCCCCCGCTCGCGCCGCTGGGCCTCGTCGCGGCCGCACGGCCCCCGAGCCTGGGGCGCGGCGCCTCGAGGCCTCTTCAAGCAGAAGCAGCTGGACGAGTGCACGAGGCCGCTCATGCTGCTCACCGCGTACGCGCGCTCGGACGGCGTGCCCGACGGAGAGGACAAGGACCTGCACAGGGGCGGAGCGCAGTGGAACCCCATGCCAAGAAACCCCCTTGCTTGCCTCCAGGGTGCCCTGGGTTTCTTGGGTGTCGATGGTCTTGCGATGGAAAGCGTGACGTTACCACGGCAAAAATCAATGGACGTCCTGGGGTCTCAAGGCTGAATTTCTTGTGGAAGGTTTCTTGTGCTCGAGCTCCTACTGGAAGGGTACCCATTATTCCAAGGCTACGTGGGAGGATGGAGGGACGGATCACCATTAGTTTTCTTCCATTAACCAGTGGACAACCAACGATAGTATGATTATTGTCAGGTCTGCATCTCGTCTTCTGCGTTATGATCAAGGTCAGAAGTAGGTCAATCAGCCTGGACCCCAACCAGTTGGTTATTGCTCCCTCGGCGTGAAAGAACTTACTGGTGCAAACCATCCGGTCCGATCTAGGGGTGCATCTTTTTACTACGCGGTTCATGCGCTAAGACACTCCAGTGCTCGAACAGCAATCTCACCCACACACCCGCAGCTTGCTGGCAACACTTACGAGGCTTTGAGTGCAGCCGCCAAGCGGAACTTGTTAGCTAACCTCAACAGGTGCCATGACGCGCGGACCCTCATCGTGCAGATTCAAGGCTCTGACGGAAGAGTGATGCCTCATGCCGATGACGTCGACATCAGTGACTACGAGTATAATGCTAATGGTGATCGTGGTGGCGATGATGACGGGGGCGACGACAAAGACGATGAAGGCGGCAGTGATAATGGTGATGGTGATGACTTGTGGTGATGACGGAGTGGTGGGGGACGCACTTGCAGTTTTCTTTTGAATGTTGCTGTGTACGCGCAGAACCTTGTGCGCTTCTTCTGTCATAACATGTGGCTCGTGCTGGGAACACATACGGAGAACCAGCGCCACCCCCTGCCTCTTGGAAACGCCCATGCGGCCAAACGTTGGGCCAACGTCTGGCCCAGCTACTGACTATGTGCTGCCCCAACCATTGCGGAGCCCCTTGGGGGTACACCTGGGAGAGACAGAGAAAGGAGGAGGAGCAGGAGGAGGAGGAGGAGGAGGAGGAGCAAACTGATGCCTCTCGAGGCCGTCTTCTGGCTTCCTGGGGGCTTCCGGGGGGACTTTTCTGGGCATCTTGGGACATCTTAGCGGCCTCCAAGGAGCCTCTCGGGGGCGGACCTCTTGGCTTCCGGAGGGAGGGAGGATGTGGAGGCGGGAGGAGGGGGAACAGGAGGAATAAGATAATGACCAACGCCAGTGGAAGGAGCAGTAGCAGGATGAGTATGGGGAGGAGGGGCGGGGGAGACGGAGGAGGATGCGCCAGTCTCATTTGGCGGCGTCTTGGATGCCATCAAGGGCCATCTCAGGATGTGTTGTTTCACATTGGAGGCTATCTCGAGTGTGTAAGGGAGGGGGGGGGGGCATCGTGAAGCCTCCTGAATGCGAGACCATCTTGGAATCCCCAGGGAGGCTCTCGGGGCCCTCTCGGAGAGCGTCGGTTACAGAAAGGGGGGCGCCATAGCAGCGGCTCCCTTTTGAAACCAGCTTGAGTACCTCTTGGGGCAATGTGTGAGTCCGATGTTTGAGCCTTTGAGGCCCTCTTGGGGCAATGCTTGGTGCCTTTGAGGCCCCATTGGGGCTCTCTGGGGGTATTTTTGGGAGCCTTCGAGGCCCTCTTGGGGCGATATTGGAGGACATCGATCAAAGAAGGGGCGTACTCAATTAGCCTGGCCGCTCGGGAGCCCTAACAGTCCTCTCTTGGGGCCCTCTTGGTGCGTTCTTGGGGGGTTCTCTTGGGGCCGTCTTGGGACACTATTGGGTTCTCGTGGGCGCTCTTGGGCCATATTGGAGACATCTTGAGGCCTCGGGCGGCCATCGGAAGCGATAAGGCGAGAACGGCACAACGCATGTTCGGATGGGTTTTTGAAAGATTTGGGCCTCTCGGGACGTCCTCTGGCGGCTCCGCGGCCACTCTTGAGCCATCTTGGGGCTATCGTTGGCCTCCGCCTTGCTCGGGGAGCATAGGCAGCATCAATGACACGCCGGCGTGGGGAATCCAGCAGCGTAGTACTGCGGAGGAGGCACCACGCCTTCTCATACAAACGAAGGAGTCAGTAACATGCTGACGAGCAGCCAACGGCCGCGTGTCAGTGGTATTGCGTTTTGCTCACCCATCAAGACGGAAGTTGTCGGACATTCTCGTCGGTTCGCTCCTCTCTCTGCCGTGGAGTGGAGCCCTCGTCGTCCCCTCCTCCTCTTCCTCAACCTCCTCCTCCTCCTCCTCTTATTCCTCCTTCTCCTCCTCCTCCTCCTCCTCCTCCTCCTCCTCCTCCTCCTCCTCCTCCTCCTCCTCCTCCTCCTCCTCCTCCTGCTCCTCCCCCTCCTCCTCCTCCTCCTCCTCCTCCTCCTCCTCCTCCTCCTCTCCTCCTCCTCCCTCCTCCTATTCCTCCTCCTCCTCCTCCTCCTCCTCCTCTCTCCTCCTCCTCCTCCTCCTCCCTCCTCTCCTCCTCCCTCCTCCTCCCTCCTCCTCCTCCTCCTCCTCCTCCTCCCTCCTCCTCCTCCTCCTCCTCCTCCTCCTCCAGTCCTCCTCCTCCTCCTCCTCCTCCCCCTCCTCCTCTCCCCCTCCTCCTCCTCCTCCTCCTCCTCCTTCTCCTTCTCTCCTCCTCCTCCTCCTCCTCCTCCTCTCCTCCTCCTCCTCCTCCCTCCTCCTCCTCCTCCTCCTCCTCCTCCTCCTCCTCCTCCTCCTCCTCCCTCACTCCTCCTCACTCCTCCTCCTCCTCTCTCCTCCTCCTCCTCCTCCTCCTCCTCCTCCTCCTGCTCCTCCTCCTCCCTCCTCCTCCTCCTCCTCCTCCTCCTCCTCCTCACTCCTCCCCTCCTCCTCCCCTCCTCCTCCTCCTCCTCCTCCTCCTCCTCCTCCTCCTCCTCCTCCTCCTCCTCCTCCCCCTCTTCCTCCTTGCTGAACTCCTGACGACGCCTTGTTGAACTCCTCAAGACGCTGGAAACCCGGCGGCCGCGGCGGCCACGCGGGCCACATGGCGGGCCTCGAGCTGGGCTGCCCCGCGCGGGGCAGCCCTGCGGCGCCAGGCGTCGCGCGGTGGTGCGGCCGCGCGGCGGAGCGCCGCGGCCTCGCCGCCCCTCGGCGCCCCGCCCGGGCCGCGCGCCTGGCCTGCCGTTGTCGTCGTCGTCGTCGTCGTCGTCGTCGTCGTCGTCGTCGTCGTCGTCGTCGTCGTCGTCGTCGTCGTCGTCGTCGTCGTCGTCGTCGTCGTCTTCGTCGTCGTCGTCGTCGTCGTCGTCCGCTGTCGTCGTCGTCGTGGTCGTCGTGGTCCGCTGTCGTCGTCGTCGCTGTCGGTGCGTCGGCTACGCGTAAGAAGTGGCCCTTCGCTGGAGTGACCATTGGTGCGGGCCCATGCGCCCACCCCTCAATTCTGGCCTGCGCGCTTGGATTTGGCCCCCCCCGCGGCCCCCGCGGGCCGCGCACCAAAGGTCATTTTTGCCCAGGGTCCCTCTTGCATGTAGCCGTTTACCGTCGCCATCGCCATCGCCGTCGCCTGCCCATAGGGGGACTCCGAAGTAGCGAGGCCGTCTTTCGAGGACCGATGCTCGAGGTTCGAGGACACAGGCACTCTCCTCTATCATTTGTTTAAATCCCACAGCCTCTAAGATACCAACCCCCTCCCAGGGCTAGTTCTGTGTCTCCGATCAGGTTTTTGGTGGGCCCAGCCCGAAAGAATCCCCCAGAGGTTGGAATCAACGAGCAAACGCTGCGATTACAAAAACCATATCCTCGGTCCTCGGAGGTCTGTGGACACATCGGTCCTCGAGCGTCGATCCTGCTCGATCTGACCTCGTCGCCTTTCTGCTGTCCCTCTGGGCCTCCAGGATGGGGTTCAAGCAGATGGGTCGGAGTATTGCGCCGCATCGCCAGTGCATCGCCGATGCAGCTCGATGTGGAGCTGGATTTTCTCCGCCACGCCGACGGCGCCGATGTATCGCCGACGCATCGCCAGTGCGTCGACGAAGTGCCCTGCGGTCCCTGGACGTTCCTGGGGTGTCTTCGGCGGTCCCCGCCCAGAGGCGCCCGGAGGGGATCCTCCGGCCTCGTGAAGCGTCCGGCTCCGGGAGGCTCCGGAACGAGCCGGAAGCGTCCAAGCCCGAGTGCCAGGCGCTGCTGCTTTTTACACCAGGAGCGTGCTCGTCGTTGAGCTCAAGCAAGTCAGCTTGCATAGGATTTTGCCCCCCCCCCCCCCGTCCCCCCCCATCCCCTCTCCCCCCCCTCCCTCCGCTTTTGCCCCCACCCCCACCCCTCCCCCCCTCCCTCCTCCGCCGCCCCACGAAGCAATGCTTGCTGGTGGGCCGAAATGGCGTGCAAGTGAGTTTCGACTTGCATGAAGTCCAAAGTTCCTTCCAGGCCTCGCCAAGCCCCCCCCCCTCCACGCATGTAAACTTGCCAGAGCAGACAGAAACGTCGCCCACAACCCTGAGATCTGGACGATTTGGTTTGGGCGTTCTTTCTGGCTTCAGGCCCCGACCATCACAGATCGATCCGGCTTGAAGTGTGCCGTAGAAAGATAGGATCTAGGGTCCCAGGCCTTATTTTCAGCGATTATGTATTGATCTTGCAGCGCCGTATCTCAGGGCCAAACGGACGGACGGCATATCAGACACCAAGGCGGTGCATGGATAACACCAGCAAGGTGCACGAAGGCAGCTCTCATGCATCACACCCAGGAGGACAAGGGAAAAGGAAGAGAAGGCGGGGGGAAAATGCGCAAAAAAGAACGACGAGCGGAAAACGCCCACTGGGACCCCGATCCTCGACGGCGGCGGCGGCGCACTCCGTGAACTAAAAGTTAGCCTGGCAAAGGACCCAACCATGCCCAGATGTGAATACCGCAATTATGGATGGGCGTTTGCGGCGCTCCCTATGGGGCCACGGACCGTGTGAGGGGCGTGCCGACAATGGGCGGCGCGGACGCTTGGGAACGTCGCCACACGGACCGTGTGAGG